ACTACCTCTACGACGACGACGACTACTGCTACTCCTACTACCACTACCACCACGACGACGATGACAACGACGACTACTACTGTGTATTGCCACTAACGTGCGCAACTACTAACGATGGTACTAGCATATAGGGTAGAGACTGGTAGTTATTCTTTGCATTTCGCTTATGTTGGTTTGGGCTCAGGACTTGGGATAATGGAGCCGTTCAGCTGCGCAGACATGGCATGGACATTTCTGCTTGCCGTTTGGGTGTCAAGGCTACAAAGCGCGTGCTGCGCGAATCTCGCCCGTTGCTGCTGATGCAACATCCAGAGCACCCATGCTGTACCGTGACGGCTTAGGACTCGTAGAAGCATGAGGCGGAAAAATTGTTGAGTTTCCTAAAGATAGAATTCTTGAAACTTGCGTGTCCGTGATCATGCTACAGCATAGCACTGCAGTGGAGGTGGAGAGAGCCCTGCGCAAAGCGAAGGGCACGCTGACGGCACAGGAGCCACCAGAAGCATTCGACGGAGTCACATGGTTGGGTCGAGAGAATGGAGCTGGTGCAGGCTCCGGATACAGAGGTTTTGGGTGTAGGGTTTCAGGATTTAGGCTTTAGGGCTTAGGGTGCGTGTATGAATATATCGTACAGTCTTATTGTGGGCGCTCTCCAGTATACCCGGCTCCCCGAGCTGCCACACCTGGCCAGCACCACCAAAGCCGGAGGCCATTCGCCGTTTTGAAGCCCAAGCCCTCAGTCTGAAAGACACGGCACATTCTACAGTGCACCCCAACTTGGACCCCCAAAGTATGTAGAAAAACAGCCGTTATACAGGTTTTGGGCCATTATTTTAATTACTTATTTTGAGGGGTTTAAGAAAGCTCCTGAACAGATGAAACTCTAAACCCTTGGAGCGTAAACTCTCCCGAGAGGACCGCTTCCCCCATTTGCCTGGAGATGGGCGCTACCTCCTCGACGAGGAGAGGACTTATGTAACCTTGCCCAAAATTTTGGACAAAGCGCCAACAATCTGGAGACTCTCCAAAGTCGGATCCGGCTGGGGTCAATATTCCAAGAGCAGGGCGACATTCTCGAGTTGCTATCGATGATGCTTGTTGAGCCAGGTAACTTAGCTCTCAGCACCATCAGGGGACCCGGCTTTTGCGAAGCATCATCGTTATAGTTGGTGCCATCAGCAGCGGTAGCAGCCGTAGCGGCAGGAGTAGTAGTAGTCGTCGTCGTACTTGTAGTGGTCGTACCTTTGGTGGCAGTGGCCCGTAGCACGGGCAGTTGTAATGGTAGTAGCTGGTAGTGGTAGTGGTGGCGGTAGGCAAATGCTGCCTTGAGGAGGTCAATTATGACCTATGCTGCAACCAGCGAACGCCCTAAACCCTAAACCCTAAAACCCTAAAACCCTAAGCCCCGCGCACCAAGGAATATTTTGAGAACACCTGCGGCCCCAAGCTCATCGCACGCTTGGACAAAAGCGACTCGCTGTACGTGGTCTACAAGGAGACACTCATGGCTATTCCCCATTCAACCCTAGTGCATCCTGGAAAATCGTAGATATGATGAAGCTCGGTGGCGCTTCCCCAGTATTTTTCAGTCTTCGGGCGAGGAGGCTGTTCTCCAGATCCCGAATCGCGAGAATCTCTGGAATGAAACGGCCTAAACAACCCGAAGTTTTAGTTTTAGCACATGCTATGTTAGGCTTGAGGCTTCAAAGGTTGCAGCAGCTTGTCTTTGCGAACCACGCCCTGTATAGTTCTGTAACAAAAGCCCTTTACAAACCCTTATAACCCTAGAGCCGCACCCGTACTCGAATAACCTAGACCCTAAATGCCAGTTCTTTCAATCCATACAGAGAGATGCCCTTTAGGCCCGACTTTGCCTTGGAAGTTGTGGGAAGAGACCAACAATTTGGTTAACCAAAAAGCGGAACTTGAAGACTATAGGTAGGGAGTTAGAAGTTGAGCGCCGGTGTAGGTTGCTGAGGTCTAGGTTTCGGAGTGGTTTCCCTCTGTTAGCCCTGAATGGCACGAGCCTTGGCGTAATATAGGGGCCTAAATAATTACTAATATTATTCTAGGGGTTCCTTATTATAGTGCTGGTATAATATATCCCAAAACCCTATTCTAATTATTAAGGCCCCTACAGTACTTCCAGCTCCAAGTTGGAATGGATGCGATGGTTTCAGGGGTTTGGGGCTGTAGAGTTTGTGGTCACGGAATTTATAGACCTTGTCAGATGCTTGAGATGGTAAAAGCTTGATAATCTCCACGCTAGACACCCCAGGGATTCCCGTCGAGTTTAGGATACTGCAATTTTGTCCAAAATGAGAGGAGATCATGACAGTGATCCGTGGCAGCTTGCACGCCGTGCGTTCTTCGGGCGGGTACCTCACGCGGACGGAATATGTCTCCGGCCACGATTCTTCAGGATCCCGCCTTTCCCCGTCATGCATACCGCATTTAGTCATTGAAGCGTTCATCCTGGAACAAAGAGCTTCCATCCCATAAATCCCTCGAAACTCAGGAAACCGTAACTAAAATGGTATGGTAGCTTCAAGCACTACAAGCAGCAGGCCCTGGGCCCTAAAACTCCAAGCCTGAGCCCCTCCGAGACCTGGGCCTCCGACACCTCAAGCCGTGAATCCCAAACCTTAAACTTAGGCCAAAGATCCTAAGGCCGTTTCCTAAACCCTTAAACGCCGAATCTAGTAGGGGCAAAAATTGACCCCAAGTCTAGTTTGGTAGCTTGAGTGTTTTCCCTGAAGTGCGACCTCGTCAGCTTAGTGCATGGGAAGAAGCCCTAAACTAAAAAAGTAGACCGCGAGCTCTCAAACCGATTTGACAGGCCAGCGTTTGGCGGAGCTCCGCGATTCCAGCATCAAAGAGGAGTCCTGTTTCTTCCAGGGTTCCAAAGATGTTTTGGAGGTTTTGTGAAGGTTATGGGGGGGTCTGAAAGGGGGTGCTCTAGCATTTCCTCAAGCTGTTTGCCGGGGTTCCTTTGGTGGGTTGTTTGTGGCTTCTGACGGGGGAGTTATAGCGATTATCGCAAGGGGTTGAGCAGTTTTCCCATACATCCGCGTCCCCTAAACCCAAAACCCAAAAGCCCAGATCTCTCAACCCTAAACCCATAATCTGATCCCCGTAACCCTCTTGACTTTTTGGGTTGGCGTGGGGTCTGCAGTGGGCTAAGTAGTCAGAAGGGTTCAGGAGACCTTGGTTTGAGAGGGTCTGCGGAGCTCCGGTAGTACAGTCGTGGTACAGTACAGGGGCTTAGGGGTACCCAGAGCTGCTTTGCGGGGTTCGGGGATCCCCGAAAGCTCGAAACCAGAAGCCATGCCCCGATGACTCCAAGACAACTGCCAAGACTAAAAAACTTTAATGTTGAAGACTTTTTCCTACACTTCCCTCCACAATTGACCAAGTCTGAGGCCTGGTAAAGTATTACAGTAATGGTACAGTCGTATTACAGTACGAGGGTTTAGGGGCACCTAGAGTGGTTTAGCAAGGTTTGGGAATCCCAAAAAGATAATTACTATACAAGGTTTACGGTTTGGGGGTTAGGGTTTAGGGTTCCTTCAAGGGTATGCTAAAGGGTCTTGGGGTTGGGGGCTGGGGGGTTAGGTTCCTGCTCCTCTATTTTCGCAGAAGAGGGCCAGAGCAAACCAAAGCTGCGCCGGGCCAAAAACAAACAAAATTTACTGACTTCGCCCCCAAAATCCACCGAGTGGATAAGCCCCGGAAAAGCAGTTATGGGGGGGTCACCTAATTAAAGACAGCGCCGCAGTAAAGAAGAGGGACTTCTTTCCTGTAGTCTTGGAACGTGAGGAGTCGGTCCGATCCCGAATCTACGATGCCTTCGAACTGTACGAGAAGTTCAAGGCCAACACATCGGAGACCCCCAGAAGTTTTGCGAGAATAGTTACACTTGGGTTTTGGAACATGGCATACTACACTTAATACCAGGTATACTACGGAACCCACATGAAGTCTTGAAGCATCGATTCTAGATGAGGAAAATGGAGATGTTGCCCTAAGCGCTGACAGCTGCCTACGGAGAATTTGCAATTGCGAGGTTGAATGTTTGCTTTCTATGCGGCAATCCCCCTTTTTGATAACTGTGCGTGTTGAGGGTTTCGGGTTCAGGGATCGGGTGGACCGTTTCCGCAGATAGTTACTCACCGCTATTAACCAACTTCCTGCCGGGCCGCAGAAGGGGTGAGGGCCGAAATCTCAGGGCTTCAGGAAGGCCCGTCACATAGAGCAACTTGCTGAGGCAAAGGGCTCTCTTTCACGCTCAGCGTAGACTAGCAAGCTGTCAGATTTCATTTGTATCGTCGGGGTATCGTAATTTAGACGGAAGTCTTTTTGAATGCGGCCCTGAACCCCGTGCAACTTATCTGCCGAGCATTGCCTTGATGTCAGAAGCCGAAGCATCTGGGAGGCTACTTGCCCGAAGTACGATCGGGTTGACGCTGTTCGAAGCATCGCAGCTGCAAATGCCCTTTGCGATTGCCAGTCTGATGTGCGATGTCATCTGTCATACGATCACGTACCTAGAAGTTTCAGGCTCGTTGACCTCAAACGGTTCGTTGATGGTGCGCAGTTCCATGTATCACACACGGAGGGCACCGATAAGGCATCACCCAGAGAGCGAAGAAATTCCGGCGCCAAGCGAGAGAAGCGGCCTTCCAAATGCTTTCGGCGGTGCCTCGTTCTGAAGAAGTTGAGTTCAAGTCATGTCGCCATGTTAAGACACCACGAAGATCAAGAAAAAGGGGTTACACTAAGCTACAGGGTATAGCTCAGGTGTTCATCGATGAGGTTCAGGATTTACTCCCTGCAGAGATCCTCCTCTTAAGACTATTTTGCCAGTCCAACACAGCCTGGGTTTTCGCCGGCGACACTGCCCAGACGATCAGCAAAGGGGTGGATTTCCGCTTTGAGAGCATCCGGCGCCTATTCTACGAGGAGTTCTTGGCTGGGAAAGATTGGGAGGAGGACAAGGTGCATGTGGAGGTGGAGTCATGCTCCTTCTGCAAGAAGCAAATAACAGAAGATGGCGGGGTGAGGATGGAATGCAACTCTCATTTTGTGGCACACAACAAAGTCCTTTGCGGCAAGGAAGCCTGCAGAAGGGCTTTGGAGAAACAGTGCGAAGATGCCTTGAAAGGTGCCTCTGCTGGTGGCCGTAAGAAGGCCGAGTGGGCACAGGCTCGCAGCCGCCTCAGCTGCCCGCTGCCTGGCTGTGGCATGTACATGAAGGAGACTTCGATTGCGCCAGCTCCAACCAAAGATGAGGGGCCGTCTTCGTCTTCATCCGTCGCTATTAGGCCGTCATTCGGCTCCATCCCTGGCATACATCACCTTACGTTCAACCATCGAAGCACAAGAGGTATACTGCAACTCGCGGCCTCCGTTATTGATCTCCTGGTGAAACTATTCCCGGAAAAGATCGACCAGTTGCCGCGTGAGGTCTCCTCGGTGGATGTAGCCCTCAAACCCGTGTTCATCTGTGGCGTGCCATTTGAGGAGACCCTTTAAACATGGTGGAATTAGTCTCAGGTCTAGGTCTGATACCGCGCGTTCTCTCCCGCAATCCCGCAGTGCGACCCATGGAAAGCCCCGGGCGTAGGAGACTTTGGACATCATCTTCAGGCAGAGTCAGAGCCAGCAGCGGCAAGTCCTGGAGTTTGGTGCGCAACAGGCCGCCGGAAAGTCTTATGGACAAGACCTCGATACCACAAGCCGAAGAGAATCCCCCAAGCACCACCTCCTAGAGCCCTTATGGTAAGAGGGTGGAACGCCGTGGGGGCCCCATAATTACTTCTGTATGGTAAACCCTAGAGCCTAAAGCCCCTGTGGTCCTTTCTCGCGGGTTATGTCGGGGCGTCTTGGAACTCCAAACTTTCTATCATCGACTCTGCAGCTCCAGACCTTCAAGCTTGAACCCTCGAGGGTCGTACGGTACCCATAGGTTCCTAAGTAGTTGCTTTTTGGGATTACCTTATAGGATTCTAAATATGAACCATAAAAAGGAACTACTTAGGAGCCTATGGGTATCGTTACAGTATAGTTATGCCATAGTGCAGTTAGTTAGAGCCTAGTACAGTTCAGTTTTATAGTATAGTTATACACTTACACTATAGTTGCTATATCCTCAGAGTGTTTGTGTGTGTGTATTATATGTATATATATATAATATAATATTATATATATATATGTGTGCACATACTGACTCGTTATCGTCTAGCTCTAGTACAGCTATAGGATGGTTACCGTAGAGCTATAAAGTACAGCTTGAGCACAGTCATTTCTATAGTATAGCATAAGGCTTGCGGCGGCATTTGTTGTTTTATCGGAAGACCTCCAACATGACGAGAGGAACCTCAGACCCCAGAAGTGCCAACTCCTGCTGCAGGCGGTCCTTGTCTGGAGCGATGAGGCCAAGCAAGCTGTAAAGGCTCGCTTTCCAATGTCGATCGTGATGAGCATCCACGATGCAAAAGGCCTGGCAGCCGAAGCAACAACAATAAGTATAACAATAAATAACATCAACAAAAGTCTATCAATGCTATCTTAGCTCTAGAGAAATGACCATAACAATGGTCATGACCTGATATGAGATGTTTGTGATCTTCCTTAGGAACCTCGAGGTTCCAAAACAGGTGGAGCCTTTCCTAGGCTCCCCAGTAGTACCCTTTTGACCGTTTTTGCCCTGTTGCTTTTTTGGAGTTCCCTTGTTAAAACCGAATAGTAAGAACAGAAGGGTAGCCTTAGCATTGAGGGGCTACTGGGGAACTTAATTTCTTGCAGCCTTTCTGTCCTTTTGTTCTGGGCGATGTTACATTTGCGACAGGTTGCCAGCTACTGCCCCTGGCAGCTTCAGATGATGCTAAACCCTCAACCCAGAACCCAAGACCGTCTGCCCAAACATCCTTAAACCACGCAACAATGTCCTGAAGCCTGACACAGAGATGCTTGCTCAAACCATGGCAGCACCCACCCACCCATGCACCCACCAGTGCACCCACCCACCCACCCATGCACCCACCCACGCACCCACCCAAAGAATAACATCTAAATCCGAAATCCTCCGCCTCCGCCGAGGTCTCGAGTTCCAGGATGTTCTAATGGCTAACCCCTTCAGCGACATGATGGCTGCTAGCGACTAGGCGTGCTTTTTTTTGTTTTATGCGTCTTTAGGGTTTTTAGGTTGTTTATGTTGTTGGTCGCATGTGCTTGAGAGTTTCCTTTTGGGTTTTGGGCTCGGGGTTTCCTTATCAGAATTCCTGAGTATCTGGATTGAATTTAGGGTTTCTAGGGCTTAGGGGTGAATATGAAAGCGGTACTTTTTGTCGTTAGGAGATACAGGGGAACCCAGGCGATAAAGCACCTGTCCAGCTGCGCCGCCAGCAGAACCTGTGGAAGTTCGTCGGGGATCAGCCGCATGGCTTGCATAGCAGCTGCGGTTTCAACATGAGGCTTAAAGACCCTAAAACTCTAAACCTTAAACCCCAAAACTCCAGGCATAGGCCGCCCACCAACTCTGGGTGGGCAGCGCTTAAGCCTCTGCAACCGATCGCGAAAGGCCGACCAGTTTTTTCCGGACGGACCAAGACTGGTCCCTTAATTAAAAAACGGAATAGACAGGCTTTCGCAGCTCGTCGCCATAGTACGATGCACTCGATACAACCTTGTCGCAGGACACTATCGCTTAATTAAGCGCTATTCCACGACAAGCCCTAAACCCTAACCCTCACAGGGTCGGTCTAGAGTTGAGGAACCTTAAACCCTAGACCCTGAAGGTTTCAGGGTTAAGGCTTTAGAGTGCCTGGCGTAGTAGTTTTTCAGGTCTTTGGGTTGTGGGGGGTTTTCGAAGAATTCTGGGAGCCTCAGCCACCTTTTTCGTTGTCGGTGGGCGACTTAGAAATGGCTTTGACTCGTCTGTCCACGGCTTGCTGTGCTCTTGGCTGAAAGCGTTGCATCTGGGTGCATTGAGGAAGGCTTTGAATATTTCTTGCGACATGTTCCATCGAAAGCTTTCCAGAAATGTGCTCCTTTTCGGAGTTCTGCGCGTGCAGGTATGTCGCAGTTACACGCGCGCGGCAGAGAGTATGGATCTTCGAGGAAGATCGGGAGGCTGGCTCGAGCATGTTGAGTCTCTGGGATGCTGCAAAGCTGGTGCGCGTGGTGTGCCTTGGCTGAAGTTTGTGAGAAGGCTTGTTTTCGGTTCTCAGTCTGACTCGGGGTGGATTTACTGCAGCCTCGTCTTGAACAGAAGCCAAGCAGAGTCTTGCCAAAAGCTTCTTGGAATGAAGAGCACAAGTCAGGCAAAGCCGTCAAGAGGCAGAGCACACGCCTGGCATGGCGGAGGGCTTTGCGGAGACGTCGACGCCGGAGGAGTTTGTGGAGCAGGGCCGGACGCTCTTGAGCGGCTAGCACTTGTTGCTCAGACGTTTCTGCACTAGGTGGCGCTTTGCGATACATGTTAATACCCCTGATGTTCACAAAGAGGCATCTGTGCATGTTACTGGAGACTTCAACTCCTGCCCAGTCACCCGCCAAACCCTGTTCTAATTTCATTATTAGGCCCCTTTTGCCCTATTTAGAACGCCAGCAAAGACATACTTAAACCCGAAAGAAAGCTCTAAAGGAATCCCGTATGAGAGGAACCCTGACTAGAAACTAAACATCCTGCTTCAAGGAACCCTTAGAGGAACCCTCCCCTACACTCCAAAAACATAGAAGCCCCTTGAAATAGACCTCTAAAAGAACCGTAGAAGGAACCCTAAACCCTAAACCCCTAAAGCCCTAATTCTGACAGAAACCTTGAAGGAACCCTAAACCCTAAACCCAATTAGGCAGCCAGCGCTATGACCCAGCGATCCTCTGCTTCATCCGCGCACGGGATGGCGGGCACTCGCTGGCTGAGTTTTGGAGGCAGTTTCTTCGTTCTCCAATACGCAATGGTTTTGGGCTTAGGGTTTAGGGGTTTTGGAGGCAGTTTCTTCGTTCTCCAATCCGCAAGGGAAAGTGGTACTGTCTTTAAGTAGGCGACTCTCTTTAATGTTTTTTGGTTTTCCTGTGATTGCTCATTGCACTGTCCATTCTCGTCCGAAGTCTAGAATGCATTTTTGTTTTGCCCGGCGGAGTTCTGTTGGTTTGCGCCCTTTCTGCTAATGGTCCACGTTAAGGTACCCTCCAGACAGCCAGCCCTCTAATCCTCAATCCTGAAGCAGCCCTCAAGAGTAACCCTCTATCTATCTATCTATCTATCTATCTATATCTATATGTATATATATATATATGTCTAGATCTATATCTATGTCTATGTCTGTATCTATATCTTTATCTATATCTATTTCCATATATCTATATCTATACCTATATCTATATCTATATCTACATCTGTATCTATATCTGTATGTATATCTATATCTATACATATATATATATATGTGTGTATATATATACATACATATATACATACATATATACATATATACAGATATGTACATATATATATATATATACATATATATATATAGATAGATAGTGCTGAATGACTTTACGTTGAAAGGAATCCTCAGCCCTAGCCCCCCACCCCGGACCCCCAAGTCCAAAGGCCTAATCCCCTCAAAAGAGAGAACTCGGAACCCCCAAAACCCTTCTAAGTTAGTCAAGCCGCCTAAACCCTAAAGCCTAAACCCAAGCCAAGCCCCAAGGCNNAAAAAAAAAAAAGAGACGATAAACAACACAAAACTCTACCGAACCCGGGTTCAGGGGGTCACAGGTAACACATTAATTATTCAGAGCTCCCACGAATGGTTGGGAGGGCCACTAAAGACAGTACCACATCAATAGTTGGTACGAGTTTGAACCTTCAGTTTTTGTTGGGGGGGATGGTTGGGCAAGTAAGGTATGCCCATGCGATGCAGCTGCAAAGCAGCGCTTCCAACACGCAAGGGGGGAGTTCCCGACGGGACTTTCAATGCGCTGGGGAGGCCTTTGCCGAGCTGGCTGAGGCGCTAGCACGCGCAGGCTCATGTGTGTGTGTGTATATATATA